TTAACAGGTAAATAACTGCGTTTTTTGTTTTTTTTCAGTGCACAGGCTGCATACAAAAAGAAATAGAACATAGCATATATACCCAACAAGGACCAGCAACATACTGGCACATCACTGGGTTTTGAATGGTTATACCAGGAGGATGCCTACAGCTGCAGGCATCATCCTGGTATCATTTTTTTCAGCTGGCGATCGGCTTTCATGTAAAAGCAATGTAAAAGCCGAGTCCTGCCCACGCCGAAGCACCCTACATGGGACCTGGGCACAGTTCTGAAGAGTGTTTTCAGCAAGAACCTTTTTGAGCCTTTGGAGGTGTGCTCCTTTAGACTTTTTGACTCCTAAAACCATCCTGCTTGTAGCAATTACGTCTGCCCGCAGAGTCAGCGAACTGCAAGATCTGTTGGTAATAGAACCATACTGCACTAGCCTGCGGGACAGAACCATCCTCCGCACGGATCCGGCGTTTCTACCTAAGGTTGCGTCACATTCTCATAAGTCGCAGGAAGAAATAATACCATCCCTGGAGGGAGACTACAGCAGAATTGATGATCCAAGGAAGGGGGACAGTGCCTCCAAAGGCACCATCACAAGATGGGTAGGAGAGGCCATTTCTGAAGGTTATAGAGCTGCGTCTGTCACCACCGGCCAGCCTAAAGGCGCATTTGACCAGGGCCACCGCAGCCACCTGGGCGGAAAAGGCGGGGGCCTCCCCTGGACAGATCTGCAATGCCGCAACATGGTCCAGTTTCGCCACCTTCGCTAGACACTCCAGATTTGACCTAATCGGCAGCAAGGACCAGGTGTTCGGCAGGAAGGTCCTACGAACAAAGGGCCCACCCTAGAGCATGTATTTCTATTCTACTCCTCTCAAGTGAGCTGTCCTAGAAGATGACTCGGGAAAACGCAGTTATTTACCTGTTAACTGTATTTCCAGGAATCTTCTAGGACAGCGTAACTCCCTCCCGATTGCTGTGTGATTATGTACTAGGGTTTCGTCATGCTTGAAATCGTCATTGTGTCTCTACTACCATTTTTATGCTTTCTCCTAGGCCTTCGGTCATATTCTTATACTGAGGGTCCCCTGGGAGAGAGGCTACTTATAGAGGAAAAAGGTGGAGCGGGTGTTTCCTGGGAGGAGCCTATCTCTCAAGTGAGCTGTCCTAGAAGATTCCTGGAAATACAGTTAACAGGTAAATAACTGCGTTTTTTGTTTTTTTCAGTGCACAGGCTGCATACAAAAAGAAATAGAACATAGCATATATACCCAACAAGGACCAGCAAACATACTGGCACATCACTGGGTTTTGAATGGTTATACCAGGAGGATGCCTACAGCTGCAGGCATCATCCTGGTATCATTTTTTTCAGCTGGCGATCGGCTTTCATGTAAAAGCAATCCTAGAGGCTAATTAGCTGCAGATTGCTTTTAAAAGCAGCGGGAGACAGTGCTCCCCCTCCCCCACTGCCTTCTACGGCCTCCTCGGGCAGTCCCGTGCCATCGGGGGAACCTGGGAATGCAGCTGGTGTTTCTGCCAGCTGACCATAGAGCTCATTCTAGACCAGAATGGTGCCAATCATCTCTATAGCTTAAGAAATCAGAAGCTACGAGCATTTCATCACTTCAATTTCGCAGGATATAAATTTGGAAAGCATCTGATCACACCGATCTTGGTGAAATTAGATAATGTAAGGGTAGAGATGAGATATTTAGAGTCTGATAGACCCCAGATTTCTCAAAAAAGAATATATGACAATGCCCATTGAAGTTATAGGGGATATTCCCTGTGATAGTATTGCATTCCCTGTGATAGTATTAAAAGTGATCAAAAAAAAAAATTAAAGGGACAGTGTAAAAATAATTTAAAAAATCAATCGCTTAAAAAAAAAAAAGTACCCTCGTCCCAAACGCCCCCCCCCCCCCACGCACACATCTGCGTTTGTGAGTGTTGACCCTGTGCCAGTATGGAAACAGCGGTTGCACCATGCATGTGAGGTATCGTCACGAATGTGAGATCAAGGGCAGTAAATCTAACTGTAGACCTCCTCTGTAAATCTAAAATGGTAGCTTGTAAAGGCTTTTAAAATGTTGCCTATGGATATTAAAAACGTATGCACTTTGTTGCCATTACACGGGGCATGCACAGTTTTAAAGCATGTCATGTTACTCGGCATACCATTATCTTATCTTTTATATTTTACCAAATAATTGGCCAATATATTGTGTTTTTGTGCATTAAAAGTAAAAAATAAATTTTATAAAAAAAATAGCGTTTGAAAAATAGCTGCGCGAGTACTATGTGACATAAAAAATTGCAGCACCCACCATTTTATTCACTAGGGTGTTTGCTTTAAAGAAATATATAATGTTTGGGGTTTAAATTAATTTCCTAGCAAAAAATACTGTTTTTTTTTTTTTTTTTTTTTTTTTTTCCATGTGAACAAAAAGTGTCAGAAAAGGCTTGTTCTTCAGGTGGTTAGAAGAGTGAGTGATGTGTGACATAAACTTCTAATGCTGGGCATAAAATGCCCCCACCCCCCAAAACGACCCCTTTTTGGAAAGTAGACACCCCAAACTATTTGCTTAGAGGCATGTTGAATCGATAGAAGAATTTATTTTTACCACAGGTTTTTGGAAAATGGCAAATTTTTTTTTTTTTTTTTAACATAAAATTGTCACTTAAATGATTTATTGCTCACACATGCCATGGGTATATGTGGAATTACTTCCCAAAATACATTCTGCTACTTCTCCCGAGTATGGGGATACCACATGTGAGACGTTTTGGCAGTCTAGCCAAGTACAGGACCCCAAAATCCAATAAGCACCTTCAGGCTTTTAAAGGGCTTTATTTCCTCATTACACTTCCTGACTACCTATCACAGTTTCGGAGGCCCTGAAATGCCAGGATAGCACCAAACCCCCCCCAAAATGACCCCTTTTTGGAAAGTAGACACCCCAAGGAATTTGATAAGTGAGTATGGTGAGTATTTTGTAGATTTCATTTGTTACTACAAGTTTTTGGATAATGAAGAAAGAAAACAAAGTTTATATTTACTAACCTAATTGCATTTCTGTGTGCTGTGGGAGACCAGATATAGTGAATGCAGGGTCCTGGGTTTAGCAACACTTTAATCATCATGTCGTTCTCAGGCTCTTAACGAAGATTTTATATTACATAGTTAGTCTGGCTGAAAAAAGACAAAAGTCCATCCAGTTCAACCATAGAAAAAAATAAAGTTATAATCCTACACCTACAGTTGATCCAGAGGAAGGCAAAAAAAAAAACCCCAGCAAAGCACAATCCAAGTTGCTCCTGCTGGGAAAAAAAAACTCCTTCCTGATCCCCCAAGAGGCAATCGGATATTCCCTGGATCAACTTTACCTATAAATGTTAGTATCCAGTTATATTCTGTGTATCTAGGAAAGAATCCAGGCCTTTTTGAAGCAATCCACTGAGCTGGCCAGAACCAACTCTTGAAGGAGTCTATTCCGCATTTTCACTGCTCTCACTGTGAAGAAACCTTTCCGTGTTTGGAGATTAAATTTCTTTTCCTCCAGATGTAAAAAGTGCCCCCTTGTCCTCTGTGATGATCTCAGGGTGAATAGCTGTACACTGAGTTCACTATATGAACCACTGATGTATTTATACATGTTGATCATATCCCCCTTAATCTCCTCTTCTCAAGAGAGAATAAATTAATTTCCTCTAATCTTTCCTCATAGCTGATCTCCTCCATGCCTCTTATCAGTTTGGTTGCCCTTCTCTGTACTTTCCCCAATGTTCTTTTTGTGAATTGGTGCCCAAAACTGAACTGCATATTCCAGATGAGGTCTTACTAATGATTTGTACAGGGGTGATATGATATCTCTCTCTCTCTCTGGAGTCTATACCTCTTTTAACCACTAGCCTACAGGGCACTTATACCCCCTTCCTGCCCAGGCCAGTTTCCAGCTTTCAGAGCTCTCACACTTTGAATGACAATTGCGCGGTCATGCAATACCGTACCCATATGAAATTTTTATCATTTTTTTGAGACAGAGCTTTCTTTTGGTGATATTTAATCACCTCCTGGGATTTTTATTTTTTCTTAAACCAAAAACCACTGAAAATTTTGAAAAAAAAAAAAAAAAATTTTCTTATTTTTTGTTGTACAATTTTGTAAATAAGTGATTTTTTTCTCCTTCACTGATGTGCGCTAATAATGGGCGGCACTGATGGGCGGCACTGATGGGCGGCACTGATGGGCGGCACTGATGGGCGGCACTGATGGGCGGGGCAGCAGCTCAGATGGGCACTGATATGTGGCATTGATGTGCACTGGTATGCACTGATATGTGGCACTTCTGGGGCCACACTGATCATCGGGCACACACTGATCATCAGTGCCCTGATGATCAGTGTACATGTCACCTCTGCGGAAAGCCGATTACCGACTCTCCTCTCCTTTTGAGCTGTCAGCGTGAGAGCTCGAGAGGAGAGAAATGCTGATAACCGGCATTTCCGTGTTTACATGTGATCAGCTGTGATTGGACACAGCTGATCACATGACTGAGCCGACATCTTCGGCTCTTTCCGTGATCCGCTGTGTCCGAGGGACACAGCGCACCAGCGATCGCCGCGCTGCGCGCTCCCTGAGCCGCTGAGTGAGAATGGTAGGACGTCATATGGCGTCCTATCAGAACGAGAGAACCACCTTGCGCCCGTCATTGTACTATAGGGCGGGCAGAAGGTGGTTAATACAAGAGAGGATTTTGCTCGCTTTGGAAACCGCAGCTTGGCATTGCATTCCATTATTAAGCTTGTGATCTACCAGAACTCCCAGATCCTTCTCCACCATTGATTCCCCCAGTTGTACTCCCCTTAGTATGTATAATGCATACATATTCCTAGCCCCCAAGTGCATAACCTTACATGTATCAACATTAAGCCTCATTTGCCACATAGTTGCCCAATAAATATTGTTATTCATTCATATTTTTTTTTTTTTCTCTCCCACAGTGCTTTGACACCAATCCCTCGCCTCCTTGCAGGATCCCTTGCAGGTACGACAGCTGCTATGTTAACCTATCCACTGGATCTTGTTCGTGCACGCATGGCTGTGACACCAAAGGAAATGTAAGTTAAAAAGTTTGCTTACAAAAAGTATTTAAGTTCTTAAAAATGGCATAAGTCATACATATTCAAATGTGTTAAAAACTGTCTGCAGTATTATGACATTCAGTACATGAGTAACAGATCTTCCAGGGAGACTTTACTGAACAGGTTTTGAGGTATACAGACCCAGAGGTTGCAAATTTTCTCTGTAGTTGGTGCGTAAACTATCTGATTGGAGATCTACCTGTGTTTGCAACTATTTAGCTTCTCCTTTTCCTGTCATTGTGCAGAAGTTTAATAACCTGCATAACAGATTAGCTTCTCACTATCAGACCTTTAAATACACAAAGCCATCTGTGATTTATTTATTTGTTTTAACAGATATGATTACCTCTGTCTGCTTCTGTTACTGGTATGTTCCTATCAACTAGGTTGTGTACTATAAAAGGTACTCACCATGTTGGCTATTATATATCACAGTCAAGGCTGCCATTGCCTGACTATAAGAAGCAGTGTTAGTTTTCAGGACAAAGCAGGTTCATGCAACATTATGTACAGTGATACGCCTAACCAGGAATGAGCTCAGGCTTGCATATTTGCGACTGCGGGGCCTCTGAGCTTTAAAAGCTTCCAGGCGGGATAGCTCAGGCAGGTTCAGACTCGTGTCCAAATCTGCCTGAGCTCAGTCCATACTCCTAATGTTAATAGATATCCTGACAGAATCACTTTTTACAGCATTTTCTTTTTATGAATATTCGATAGATCACTGATTCATATTCACCAGATGAAAATTCCATCTGCTTATTTTGAAACTGTATATTTAGACAAAGATGGTGATACGTCCCAACTTTCAAATGCAAGCATTGCCTGAGGAGTCATGTCTATTGGCAGACATGGTAAAAATTCCTGCCATCATACAAAATTTTCTAATTTATGCTGTAGTTGTACATGGTGTCAGGAAGCAATCCTATTAAGATGCTGCATACTGTGCTGGGCAAAGAGGCCAAGCACATGTACCTACCACTGCTAGGTGGGTTCATCAAACCCAGTAAGCACAATGTGGGGAGGAGCTTTGTTACTGCTAAGTGCAGCCCAATGCAGGTCGGGCTTAGATGGCCTCTTAAACAGCCATCTATATTTGTACTTGCTAATACAGCACCTGATTTTAAACCAAGCTTGTAATTGCAGATAGGCCCAGTTTGCCAGCTACATTAGAAAAAATGGTCTTCGTCAAAGCTAAATCAGTTGTGCTTATTGCAGGTACAGTAACATCATCCACGTTTTTATGCGTATATCAAAAGAAGAGGGCTTGAAGACCCTGTACCGAGGGTTCGCTCCCACAATTCTAGGAGTAATTCCTTATGCAGGAATCAGCTTTTTCACTTATGAAACACTAAAGAAACTGCATGCAGGTATGTAATAAAGCAAGATGGGATTTTTTGGCCCCAATATTTAAAGTAGAATTCCAGTCTAAATCTAATCATCAAAATGTCCCATTCCCACCTTCCTAGTACTTATGCTGACTAGTCAGTGTATAAAAGGTGTTCTGTATATACTGAACTATTTTCAGTCTGCTCCGGTCAGATCACATGATTCCCTGTCAGTCAGGGGTGGCTGCAAAGAAGAGGTGAGAGCTTGACAATGACTGAGAATTTCAGGAGCAGTGATGTCACCCATAAGCTACCATGTCCCAGCCACTGCTGGAACTCCCTCCTCTCCCCAGCAGCCTCCACTGGCTGACACTGGCAAACTGAATCATGTGACTGAACCAGAGCAGACAGAGTAGGTAAGTATATACATATTTTTTTACTCAGGTTAGTCGGCATAGGTGGTAGGGGACATTTTTAAGATTAGTTAGGTTTAGGCTGTTCTGCTTTAATCTCAGTGGGTTTATTTAAAGTGTGACTTTACCTGAAACTTTTTTTTTTTTTCGGGATATAGTGGGGAAGGATTAGAACTCCTGACAGGTTTTTACTGCCGTCAGAGACTGTGTTGGAGTGATTCCTTCACTTCCTGTCTGGTGAGAAGGTTGTCCCCAGAACCGACGTAAAGACAGACAGATGTAAAATTGCGTTTTTTTTTTTTTTTTTTTTTTTTTTTTATTTTTTCTAAAGATAGGTAGAAGCTCTGTCAGCTTTTTATTGTTGTCTATATTTCTGTTTCTCTCATTTCTTGTGTGGTAAAAGGTTGCACCCCAAACAAGAAGTGAGGGGAAATCTCTCCAACAGAGTTCTGGATAGCAGTAACGCCTGACTGTACATCAGTACAAAGTAGGTGCTTCATTATCAGTGGAAATACGGGCCTTCTAGGCCATTGTTTTATTTTTTTTCTCTTTTCCAAAATTTAATACCCACAGTACATTTTTTTTTTTTTTTTTTTTTTTTTTTTTTTTTTCCCCCCTAAAACACCTGACCAGCACTTCCTACACACACACACACTTTTTTTACACTGTACGTTGTACCTCTCTATTAAAAACAGTTCTCCATTCCTTTGCATTTCAGTGCCTCACGCATATTTGGTAAATGCTTTACCTCCTGCCTCCCTGTTACTCAATGGCTCATACATTTCTTTTCTATACAGTGCCTCACACATATTTTTACCTAAAGTGCCTTATATTTCTGTATTGAAGCAGCAGTAGTTGTGGCAGGCAAAAAATGGAACTCAGCGGCGTCCAATACCCTGTGAAATTTTGCAGTGCTCGTAAAATAAAAAACACAAAATGAATTCTATAAAAAGAGGGTAATTCAGCAAGTTTTATTTAGGTAGTAGTATTTTGACTTTTTATTTTAGGCCTTAAAAAAAAAAAAAAAAAAAAAGTAGTCTAGCGAGAGAGTCTTTTAACAATTTATAAAAGCCCTATATATCTCAGGAAACCCGGTTTTAGTGGTTGTAAACCATTACATACAGTATCTCACAGAAGTGAGTACACCCCTCACATTTTTGTAGATACCTTTCAAGTGACAACACTGAAGAAATGACACTTTGCTATAATGTAAAGTAGTGAGTGTACAGCTTGTATAACAGTGTAAATTTGCTGTCCCCTTAAAATAACTCAACACACAGCCATTAATGTCTAAACCGCTGGCAACAAAAGTGAGTACACCCCTAACTGCAAATGTCCAAATTGGCCCAATTAGCCATTTTCCCTCCCTGGTGTCATGTGACTTGTTAGTGTTACAAGGTCTCAGGTGTGAATGGGGAGCAGGTGTGGTAAATTTGGTGTTATCGCTCTCACTCTCTTACTGGTCACTGGAAGTTCAACATGGCAAATGGCAAAGAACTCTCTGAGGATCTGAAAAAAATAAGTTTTGCTCTACATAAAGATGGCCTAGGCCAGTGGTGGGCAACCTTTTTTTTTCAACTGAGCCAAATCTCGCCAAAACCACAATTTAAAATTTATTTTGAGAGCCACATTTTTAAAACTGAAAATACATAGGATGGTACACTGTTTTTAGTTTCAATAAGTTTTTATAGTAATTCATCATCCTCCATATAGTAATTCATCCCCCATATAGTAGTTCAGTAGTAAGTAAGTAGCAAGTAGTAAGCCAAGTCCCCCCTGTGTCAATTCACTTACCTTTGCTCCGCGCGTTCTTCTCGCCGTGTTCCCGCGCCGTTCCGGTCTTCAGGGCGGACTGTGAGAGGAGCCTAGCTCCTCTCACGTTCGTCACGCTGCCCCGCCTACACACATCCTGACAGCCAATCACTGGCTATCAGGATGTGAGTGGCAGCGAGACTGGCCAATCATTGCATTTGAGCGCGCTGCCCTGGCTGGTTTTTTTTTTTTTGGATCATGCTTCGCGGGCCGGATTAAAAGGTCCGCCGGGCCGTAGTTTGCCCATTGCTGGGCTTTCTGCAGAGTCCTGACTTTTGGGGCGGCCGCCCGAGAGGAGGGAGGGGAGCGGGCGCCCGGCACACAGAAGAGCCGCATTAAAGTGTGTAAAGAGCCGCATGTGGCTCGCGAGCCGCGGCTTGCCGACCACTGGCCTAGGCTATAAGAAGATTGCCAAGACCTTGAAACTGAGCTGCAAGGAGGTTGAGTGCACGTGCTCATCGTCATATCCAGAGGTTGTCTTTGGGAAATAGATGTATGAGTGCTGTCAGCATTGCTGCAGAGGTTGAAGGGGTGGGGGGGGGTCAGCCTGTCAGTGCTCATACCAAACGCCGCACACTGCATCAAATTGGTCTGAATGGCTGTCGTCCCAGAAGGAAGCCTCTTCTAAAGATTATGCACAAGAAAGCCCGCAAACAGTTTGCTGAAGACAAGCAGACTAAGGACATGGATTACTAAAACCATGTCCTGTGGTCCAATGAGATCAAGATTAACTTATTTGGTGTCAAGCGTGTGTGGTGGCAACCAGGTGAGGAGTACAAAGACAAATGTGTCTTGCGTACAGTCAGGCATGGTGGTGGGAGTGTCATGGTCTGGGGCTGCATGAGTGCTGCCGGCACTGGGGAGCTACAGTTCATTGAGGGAACCATGAATGCCAACATGTACTGTGACATACTGAAGCAGAGCATGATCCCCTCCCTTCGGAGACTGGACCGCAGGGCAGTATTCCAACATAACGACCCCAAACACACCTCCAAGATGACCACTGCCTTGCAAAAGAAGCTGAGGGTAAAGGTGATGGACTGGCCAAGCATGTCTCTAGACCTAAACCTTATTGAGCATCTGTGGGGCATCATCAAATGGAAGGTGGAGGAGCACAAGGTCTCTAACATCCACCAGCTCTGTGATGTCATCAAGGAGGAGTGGAAGAGGACTCCAGTGACCACCTGTGAAGCTCTGGGTGGCAATCTGTGAAACTCTGGTGAACTCCATGCCCAAGAAGGTTAAAGTAGTGCTGCAAAATAATGGTGGCTACACAAAATATTGACACTTTGGGCCCAATTTGGACATTGTCACTTAGGGGTGTACTCACTTTTGTTGCCAGCGGTTTAGACATTAATGGCTGTGTGTTGAGTTATTTTGAGGGGACAGCAAATTTACACTGTTATACAAGCTGTACACTCACTACTTTACATTGTAGCAAAGTGTCATTTCTTCAGTGTTGTCACATGAAAAGATAGAATAAAATATTTACAAAAATGTGAGGGGTGTGTGCTCACTATTTGTGAGATACTGTATATCCAGTGAAGTAACTGGCCTCAGATAATAAACAGAGATGAAACAAATCCTCTATACGTTGTACTTGTTTATCTGTTGTTTATCTGTAGCCATCCTGTATGCCTAATACAACATTGAAAGGATATTTTTCAGCAGAAGAAACCAGGGGGCGAGGATCTGAGGTCAAGCACACTACAGAACTAGAGCACACCAAATGTAATCTGACCACTAACTGGAATGACACACACACCCCTCTTCACAGGCTCACAGAAACATAGAGTTCAGGTATGAGTCATCTGCTTTATGCTGGATGGGGGACGGACCAGATCCCAGGAGGCTGAAGTGTGGGTTTGATCCTTTAGGAGAGAGTCCTACAAAAAGCAGAGAGAGGAGAGGTCAGAGAGGAACCATACTCATGCTTTGAATTCAGGTTAGTACACACCATTGAAGGTTGTGCTTTGTTCAGTTTTCATGTCTGAGGTTTACAACCACTTTAAAGTTTGTGAACCCTCACCTTGTAAAACAACCTATTCAGTTTAAAATAGAAATGAAAGGCAAAACATTTGTGTATACTGTAGAAATAACACATTTTTTAAAGTCAAGAATGAGTTTTTATTGAAAATAAGAAATAACAGTGCATCACATGCAGAACGAATTATCAACCATACCAGAGGTCAATTGTTTTAGCAGCATCAAAATGTGTCAATGATACAAACAGAGCACCTCTTAATAAGGTCAACAGGCCGACCATAATGCTAACAGGTGAGTCGGCAAATGAAAGACAGTTTGCGGCTCAAGTTACATCCTCCTCTATCCAACCACACGACTAAGACGTTTAGTCAAAGGAGTGTATATTAGCCTGCAAATATCCATGACTCAGGCTTGGGGTATCCAGCCATGGCCCCCAAAGATCATCATATTTATGCGGGCAACCTTTTATGTTGGTATATATATTTCTACAGCTGAAGAGTTTATCCCATGCACTGCACCTACTCCCTGTGGGAAGGGGGATCTGAAAACTTCCAATACTATCAGAGAACTCTGTACTTGAAAAAGGGCTATAGCCACCGCATCTCTTGTAGAAGCCGGCACTTGAAGGTCATCTAAAATGCCCAGTAGGCATGGTTTAGGGTGGAATGGGATAGATGCCTGGAAAACCACATTCATTATACTCACTACCCCCTCCCAGTATATGTGCAATTTGGGGCATCTCCACAACAGATGGATTAAGTTCAAGGTCTGTATCCCACTGACACTCCACCGTCAGAGGAAATGTGGTGTTTTTTTTTTTTAATAGGAATGGCAGGAACACCAGAGATATAACACAGAGAACAGGATACTTGTTAATACCAGTGTAAAGTACAGCAGGCACATACCAAGAATATGAAATATGGGGTTTACATATTCTTTAAGGGAAGAATAGGGACTGCCACAGCTGACCTCTGTAGGGTACCTCACTGTTGTGGTTTTTCTTCAGTGCTTTGTGCCCTTGACCAGTATGGTAATAAGGAGTTTACACTGGATTATTATATCTGTATCGCTGTTTCAGTTCTATGACTTAGTAGCAAAACCAATGGGTCAGTGTTCTATCCAGAAAACTAATATTTACAAGAGGAAGCTATGATAGTGCCTGCATTTTAGTCATGACAGGTGTACCTCTATATATAATGTCAACTAACTAGTAAACATGTTTGTTGTGTGTTTTTTTTTTTTTTTTGTTTGTTTTTTTTTTTTATGTAGAACATAGTGGCAGAACCCAGCCTTACCCTTTTGAACGTCTGCTATTTGGAGCCTGTGCTGGACTCTTAGGCCAATCTGCTTCCTATCCTCTGGATGTGGTAAGACGGCGCATGCAGACTGCTGGTGTTACTGGACATACCTATGGCTCCATCCTTGGTACCATGAGGGAAGTGGTGACTGAAGAAGGCTTCATCCGTGGTCTATATAAAGGGCTCAGTATGAACTGGGTGAAGGGTCCAATTGCAGTAGGCATGAGCTTTACCACCTTTGACCTAACACAGATTCTTCTGAAAAAGCTCCAACAAATGTCCAATGTTCAGAGGTAGAGCAGGGTGGGATTCTTTAACTCTTTTGCTGTTGCAAGAATTTTTATTCTCATACAGCTAAGGTGTTGAAGTGACAAATTCCTTCTTTTTAGTGTGAAGGAAAAATATTTGTTCTGTAAAGAAATGGATTGGTGCTAGTATAGTTAGCCAGTATGTTATGGCTACAGAAAGAACTAATTTAACCACAGTTGCCAAAACAGGTGGTAACATTGTTAGTGGTTGGAATGTGGGTTAAAAATAAAGCTTAGGGGTGTGTCAATCAATGGAGCTCTTTATGAGTATCTCAGTACTTAATAGCACACTCACCAGAGCACAAAGACGCACAGTGATAAGTATTTCCCCATCCCCACCATGAACAAAGCTGCTATTGCCATCTCATTTTTATACCAGATCTATCTGCTTTAGCTATGTCTGTAAAATTCCTATACGGAATTGCAGTTACTTGGCCACAGAGCCACAGAAGTATTAAACATGCTTGCAGGATAATTTTATATAAAGGTCAGAAGCATCTCAAAATGATGTAAAAAACAAGCTGTATTTGTTCATCGACACAGGCCCAAAACCCGTTTAATATATGCACTAATACTACTTGGCTCTTTTTTTTTTTTTTTTTTTTTCAAATCCATGCACCATTTTTGCCTCTAGTATTGTGCAGATGGTTTCCCTTATTATTTTGACACATAGTAGAGGTTGAAAGTGCTTGATGTGATTGTCAGTCGAAAGGGCAAGTAAGGACTTTAGTTCTTTAGCTTAGGGGCTTTTTACATTGACAGAGCAATGGAAGGTTGATTTTCCAGTCTCACTGGGTCTTCAGTAGTCTTCTTGCCTGCAGTTTGCTTGAGAAATCATGACAGGGTTATAATCTACCCCTGATTATTTCTTTGGTTATCACATTTTTATAATGTACAATAATCAGAGCATGTGCCGGGTAGCCCTTGAAGACTTGAGCAGAAAAGCATTCTGTGCAGGAACATCTGATTCAATTAAACGTTTGCACTTCATACACTTACTCCACAGCTCTCCCACAGAAAATGTTCTACATTTGGTGGGATTCTTCATTAACGCACATGCCTCACTAAACCCCACCCTTATTCAGATGTTTCAGTTGAGTTCTTTAAGGGCTGAAGCATATATCTTTAAAAGTTACTGGTGTATTACTTGGGACAGCACAAGCCAAACATACAGCTATTTAGCTCGGTTCTTTTTATCTCCTGTTTTATGCCAATAAGTGTGAGTTTTGCAATCCTCTTTGCTTACAGTTTGTACTATAAGATTGAAGTTTGCCTTTCAGAATAGTTCTGTACACTTTCAGCAGAAAAACTTGAAGTGCCATTACTTGTGTTTTTGGAAAACATTTATATGATTGCACATGTTCATGTATTTTTGTCTTTGTTGACATGTATGCTGCATATATGTACTAGTAGACAAGTTAAATGACATATGTGCCTATGCCTGCATGCAAGTAACCTTGTCCATGTAATCAGAAGTGTAGGGATCAGTATTTCCTACTTGCTGCTGATTGCATAAAATAACTTTTATAAAAGCTGATTATGTGCGGAAAACATGCATAACTCCCCAACATAAATGTATTTTGCAGCGATATTTTGTTAGTAGCAGATCTCACTAACTACATAATACTAATAGGTAATTTGGCTGCTGAAAGGTGATTTTTTTTTTTTTTTTTTTTTTTTTTTTTAATATCTAATAAGAGTTCATGCTTTCGCATATGTTCTGCAGTGACAGCACTTTTGGAAAATGTTTATATATAAATATATATATTTTAAATAACTGTTGTAAGAGATTGTATATTTAATAAAACAATGAAAACTTGATTATTATTTTGTATATATCTATGTATACACACACTTTAATTTTTTTATTTTACACATTTTAACTTTTGGAATGCAGAGGGGAGTATTGGGAGATTTGTACAGCTACATCTGTTTTTTTTTTTTTTTTTTTTTTTTTTTTTTTTTTTTCTTATCTTCCTTTGCGATAATCCCGAGTGTGGCTCGGGCTTCATTTTCAGTACCAAAAGCGGTAACCCTGAGCCACACTCAGGATTACACTGTAGTGTAACTTACCTTGTCCTGCGTTCCCCTGATGTCCTCCCGCTGTGTCCTGCAGCCGATGCTGGCATCCGTCTTCCAGGTTCCCTTCCCTGCGAGCGTTGTGACGCAGGGGGGTGGAACTGGTGGGAGATTACAAAAAGTAAAAACATGATATACACACAGTACATTGTACTCTGTTGGGATTTACATTACTGTATCAAACCATTTCGCATCAGTTTTGTCACTAGTGCTTTGTCCAGTGCCCTGCTTGCACTTTTACCATTCTTTCTGCCTGGAAACTTGAGAACGTCCATGGCATCCAAAAAGCATCCCTTTAGGTCAAAAGTGGTTTTAGACCAGCTAGAAAACAGCGATTTAGTGAATTAGAATCACTTGCAGAATTGACCGATAGCGATTTGTGGGGAAATTCATCATCAGACACTGAAAGTGACAACAGCGACAATTCTGCGATTGAGCTCAGTGATGTGTGAACTTGGTGCCCTATTTCAAATTTCACTGTTTTCGGTTTGATTTACATTATTGAATTAAATTTACCATTATTAGATTATTATTTTTTTTATAATTATTTATTATATTATACTTTGTGATTTCGTGTTTCAAACTTTATCAAACCTGGGATGTTTACTAGACTCTTGTTTGGACAGATTTAAGTGAGTTATTCCTAAGAATTACAGGCCTACAATGTAAAACAACAAATTTCCATGCAAAACAATGTACCGCTTTGACATTCAAAAATATTGACATAATCAGACTGCCAGGGAGGTTAAATGTTGGAGGGGAATTCCCCTTCCTGTTCTTCCCATGTCCTATTAAATGGGTTTCATACAGAAGTCTCCAAAACCAAATCTGGGCTTTAGGGGCTTGTATAGGTGGCCAATATTTGGCAGCAAGTTTGTGTTTCTATAGCATGGTCTCTGTTCATTTAGTTGCAGTAGAGAAACCTTTGTGGCCTATTGTCCCAGTATACACAATCAAGCTCTCGTTCAATTGATAGTGTGCTGGACTCTATTGTGTATTGAAAACATTAGCCAGTGTAGGTGATGCAAGCTTTATCCAATACTACTTGTTCCGTTGAATACTGTTGTGTACAAATGGAGGACATGTGTATGCATTGTGAAAATTTCTGTTTACAGAGGAAAAACTAATTGAAATAGCTGAAGGCCTTTTCCAGCATACTTTAGAGGGCTTAATTGCTAAAAGTTAGGTCCGGATATGAGTGGTGAGAGGTAAAGAAGCAACAAATTAAGCCAGGTACACATGGGCTGAAAACAGTGAGCTTTGCAGGGAATGTGTAAAGTTACTCATTTGACAGAAGCTGGTCTCACAACTGGCTTCTGTCGAACAAGCATGCATGGATGGAAAACCAGCATCTGATTGGCATACGATCAGCGCTGGCAATGTCAATATATTAGCTTAAAACTGATGTTTCTCTGCACCCTGTCTGTGGCCCAAAATGTGTTCATTAACACTTCACATGTTTTATTTGCTTTCTGTAGTATACAATTTTTATTGATTAGTGAAAGGTCACCATGCATGGGGAACATGAAACTCTCCCAAATGAATTTAGCATTTGTTAAAAGAAATGCATGGGGACACTCCAGGCATGAACAAGCCCAAGAAAACATTATATTCCATGTTTTAAACTTTAAAATGTTTTTTTTTTTTTTTTTTTTTAACTTTCGAATAGAGCATGGAAGGGTTGTATCCCCTGTAGGATTTTATTGGCAACTGTGTTCCTGCTGAGCAGATATATTTGTACTGATGACCATTATCAGAGAGAAAGAAAGGTGGTGTTTTTTTTTGGGGGGGGGGGGGGGGGGGATTTCAGAGAGCACCCGTCTTTCAGAGAGCACCCTTGAGAGACCTCGGCTTCTCCCCACCTGAGGAAATACCACCTCCACCCAGATTAAAGTGCGGTTTCCCCACTAAGACCTTCGTAATAGGTGTTTCCTCCGAAGGGGAGACACTTTTTGGAAGCCCTTCCTGGGGGCTGCATTGTGCCTGGAGGACTGGGTGCGGTTCATGTACTGTTGGCCAACCCCCAAAGATGGGGAGGTAGGGACCCGGTCAGTCCTCTGGGGGAATAGGGGGTGTCCCTTACCTCCTGTTCTCTGGTTCCTGCCTGGGGAGCAGAGGGTTGCTGGGCTTCCGCATTACGCCCATCCAGGGGGACCCAGAGGAGAGGTACTGTTGCTCCATGATTGATGCTGGCGGTGGAGCTTTTGCCGGGCCGGATGACAGGGGTGTCTCTTCTGGTTGAAAGGCGGGACTTCCTCCTGAGACTCAGCTTCCATCCGTGGTTCTGTGAAGTGTGGATCGGAGTTGGGCTGATGCGGGGAGCTGCATCCTACACTGGGGCAGACCACCATTTATGGGCTATGTCCGGAGCGGAGGCACCTGAACCAGGTGATGCTGGTACCAGCCATTCTCAGGTAAGTGGCTCAGAGGAGCCTGTCTGTTAGACCCCTAGCTCCAGGGGGTCTCCTCAGTCCTTCTGGTGGCCAGGCAGAGGGTGGGGGGTCTCAGCTCAGGAGATTCCCACACCCTGCCAGGTGCTGCATGGAAAGCGTACAGATGGGGGGGGGGGCAGGTTGGCTATGGAGTAATGGGTGGCCTGTTTTCTGTGTGTTCTGTTTTTAGGTGAAAAAACCAGAGAGAAGTCTAAGCCACACTATGAGACTAAAAAGAAGTGACACTCAGACTCCTGGACAAAGGTTCTGTGTGGGTCTTGTTTACAGTTAGGGAGCTGACTGACACTTTTTATTCCCTTAGGTCCCTTGTAGAGAACTTTTGTCTGCCCCAGGCGCAGAGCTCCCTCTCCCTGCCCCCTCTTCCCCATCAAACCGAGGCAGCGGCCCTTCAGGTTTCCCCAGCGACTAGTAGGGAGGAGGGGGACTGAGGGCTGAGTTGGAAGAGGAGGATCCGTCC